GGCTGAGGCAGGCTGAGGCTGAGGCCGAGGCTGAAGGCAGACTGAGGCTGAGGCTGAAGCAGGCTGAGGCTGAGGCTGAGGCAGGCTGAGGCTGAGGCTGAGGCAGGCTGAGGCTGAGGCTGAGGCTGAGGCTGCAGGCTGAGGCAGGCTGAGGCTGAGGCCGAGGCTGAAGGCAGACTGAGGCTGAGGCTGAAGCAGGCTGAGGCTGAGGCTGAGGCAGGCTGAGGCTGAGGCTGAGGCAGGCTGAGGCAGGCTGAGGCTGAGGCTGAGGCTGATGCAGGCTGAGGCTGAGGCAGGCTGAGGCTGAGGCCGAGGCTGAAGGCAGACTGAGGCTGAGGCTGAAGCAGGCTGAGGCTGAGGCTGAGGCAGGCTGAGGCTGAGGCTGAGGCAGGCTGATGCTGAGGCAGGCTGAGGCTGAGGCTGAGGCTGATGCAGGCTGAGGCTGAGGCAGGCTGAGGCTGAGGCCGAGGCTGAGGCAGACTGAGGCTGAGGCTGAAGCAGGCTGAGGCTGAGGCTGAGGCAGGCTGAGGCTGAGGCTGAGGCAGGCTGATGCTGAGGCAGGCTGAGGCTGAGGCTGAGGCTGATGCAGGCTGAGGCTGAGGCAGGCTGAGGCTGAGGCCGAGGCTGAAGGCAGACTGAGGCTGAGGCTGAAGCAGGCTGAGGCTGAGGCTGAGGCAGGCTGAGGCTGAGGCTGAGGCAGGCTGGCTGAGGCTGAGGCTGAGGCTGAGGCTGATGCAGGCAGGCTGAGGCTGAGGCTGAGGCTGAAGGCAGACTGAGGCTGAGGCTGCAGGCTGAGGCTGAGGCTGAGGCAGGCTGAGGCTGAGGCTGAGGCTGAAGGCAGAGGCTGAGGCAGGCTGAGGCTGACTGGCTGAGGCTGAAGCAGGCTGAGGCTGAGGCTGAGGCAGGCTGAGGCTGAGGCTGAGGCAGGCTGATGCTGAGGCAGGCTGAGGCTGAGGCTGAGGCTGATGCAGGCTGAGGCTGAGGCAGGCTGAGGCTGAGGCCGAGGCTGAGGCAGACTGAGGCTGAGGCTGAAGCAGGCTGAGGCTGAGGCAGAGGCAGGCTGAGGCTGAGGCTGAGGCAGGCTGATGCTGAGGCAGGCTGAGGCTGAGGCTGAGGCTGATGCAGGCTGAGGCTGAGGCAGGCTGAGGCTGAGGCCGAGGCTGAAGGCAGACTGATGCTGAGGCTGAAGCAGGCTGAGGCTGAGGCTGAGGCAGGCTGAGGCTGAGGCTGTGACTGCGACTGCCGTTGCCACTGCGACTGTCATCGCGAATGCGACTACGACTGCGAGAACAACATAATTCTACAACTGGATTATCATCTGAATCTTAAGGGGAATGCTTCCAGATATGCTCCTACACATCGCTGTTAGGTTGCTTTGTCGGGATAAGTTCTTTGGTAGTTTCAATGCATCACAGCACAGTACAATGCAGCCCCTGGCACGGTACATCACCAGCATTGCCATGACTCATGGGCCATGAGAATTGCCATGTTCCCTACCTAGGCTCTGCCTAGAGGGTTCTTATTCTCTTTCTTAAAGGGGCCGGGCAGTGCACACCGCCCCGGGCGGTTCCCCCAGTATCCGCCCCGCGGTTCCCCCAGATACGTCCCTTTAGTTTAGCGTTGCTTATGTCATCTTAGCTGAGCTGATTTCAGCTTAGCTTAGCTTCATCTTAGCTCAGGTTTATCTTAGCTTAGCTTACCTTCATCTTAGCATCGCTGAGTTTTAGCATAGCAGAGCACAGCATAGCGTAGCATAGCATAGCGCAGCACAGCATGTCATAGCATATCCCGGCATAGCATAGCATAGCGCAGCATAGCATAGCATAGCATAGCATAGCATAGCATAGCATAGCGCAGCACAGCACAGCATAGCATAGCGCAGCGTAGTATAGCATAACATAGCATAGCAGAGCATAGCATAGCATAGCAGCAAAGCAAAGGCAAAGCAACAGCAGCGACAGCAAAGCAAAGCACAAACAACGCAAAGCAAAGCAAAGCAAAAGCAAAAGCAAATCAAAGGAAAGACAAACCAAAAGCAATGTGCGACAGATGCCGAGCTAGCCTCGATGGCCGGACCGGAGCCTCCGCAAGCAGTGCCTTCCGTAACCAAAGCGAAAGCAAAAGCAAGGCAATGCAAAGGCAAGGCAATGCAAAAGCAAAGGCAAGGCAATGCACAGCAAAAACAAAACCAATGCGAAAGTGTAGATGTAGATGTAGATGTAGGTGTAGGTGTAGGTGTAGATGTAGATGTAGGTGTAGATGTAGGTGTAGATGTAGATGTAGATGTGAGTCTCGCTGTTGATGTTGATGTAGATGTAGATGTAGATGTAGATGCAGGTTGAGATGTTAATGTAGCTGTCGGTGTAGATGTAGATGTTGCTTTCCCAGATGCTCCAACTCCTAGGTAGGGTCGCACTGGGATAATCTATATATTTTTCCAAGTTCGCGGGTCGATCATGTTTCGCGAATATCCCGCGCGGAACGTAGTCATGCGACCGCGAAACTCCTAATTGCGAGGTCGTGGACATGCATGTGTTCGTGTGTTCGCTGCTCGCGAGGATGTGAAGGTCCCAGGCCCGTCCCGCCCCGCTGGGTCCCAGACCACCGACGTCCTGAAAAATACACGGCGGAGGTGATTCACATTGTCGGCTTCCAGGGGGCGGGATCAGAAGTCCGCCCGGGGTGAGCAAAGCGTCCTCGGAGAGGGATCACCAAGAAAGAGAGCCCCACGCCGCGAAAGAGCTGGTCACGGAGGGGCGTCGGATCCGAGACTTCCGCTGGTCGTGTCGGGTGGTCCACGGTGATTCTGGTGATTCTGTCGCCGTCGCAGGATCTTGTCGACGCCATTCTCGGCCATGGTATGCATGTTGGACACCGTCGACTCGCGAGTATGACCCACACATTGGCGATGGCCAAGATGGACGATGATCAAGATCGACGCCGACGTGTCCGCGCTCAGCCTCGTTCATGGCAAGCGCTTTCTTTCCCTCCACCTGGGGCGGTCCAGAAAGAAAGGGCCTCACCTTCGGCGCGTCTTCACCTTCGGCGGGGGGCGGCGGGAGGCCAGCGGGCGGATGTGTAAACAGCGAGGTCGGCCCGCCAGCGGAGAGGAGGCCGGGCGTAAGGCCGGCGGAGGGCGACATCCGAAAGTCGGCCAGCGGAGGCCAGCGGAAGGGCGGCGGAAGTAAAAGTGCGACGTCAACTTTCTCTGGTTCAGGATTCCGGACATCCGACGGTATGATTTGCCCAATCTTCGGCCCCAGAAGACCCGACGCCTTCGGGTTCAGCGCCCTGGATCAATGTCAGATGGTGATGGGGCAACGTTCGGAGGGATAGGCTCAGGGGCGGAGTTGTCGGGTGCTTCCGGTCTTCGCAAGCTTTCAGGGCCCAGTGTGGTTTCCATCATTTGCGCCTCGTCGAGTGCGTTCTGGGGGCGCTGGAATCGCCCCGATCGGCCGCTGGGGAGCCGAGCTATGACCCGAAAGCCAAGGGGCAACGGCAGGGTGGGGATGGGGCAACGTGAGGGGGGATGTACTAATCTCAGGGGAGGGCACATCGAGCCCCAATCGCCAATTCATCGCCGATATGGGCCCGACAGCCCGCCCGCCCTGGACCGGGCGGTTTTGCCATGGGGGGCCTATTGACGATCTATCGCCGACTCTGAGTCGATGCTCCCCCCCTGAGCTGGTCCATTCTTGACAATCTCTCCTAAAAGGACAAGAGGATAGGGGGGCGCGGGCGTCGACGTCGTCGTCGTGGTCGTGATCGTGGTCGTCGTTCTCCTCTTCCTGTCTCCCTCCGTCCGAGCGTCTCCCTCCCTCCTTTCGTCCTGCTCCTCCTCCTTCTCCTCCCCCTTGTCGTCGCGCCTCTTCCTTCCTCCTCATTCCTCGTCCTCCTGCTTCCTCTGATCCTCGCCCTCCTGATGATCCTTTCACTCCGACCCCTTCCAGGAGCGGGGCGGAGAAGGAGGCATTGCACTCCCTCACCCCTCCTCCCTCCCGCCAGCCCTGCGTCTCCTCCTCTTGTGCGGCCCGTTTCAGAGCTCACGCCATGATCACCAATGTTCTGCAAGCTCTCGCGGTCCCTGCTGAGGCTTTCGTTCTGCTTCGTCAAGAACTTCGCAGATCTGGCTGCTGCGCGCTGGGCCCGAGAGCGATATGTCCGTATTGGTTGCGCGTGAGAGTGACCCTTTGCCCGAGTTACTTGAAGGTGCGTACCATATGTCGCTCTTGCCCTAGCGTCACTCCTGTGTGTAGCCGACTCGTGGAAGCGTGCGGGCACCAGCAGGTTGCCTCCAGCCTGCCGCCTGCAGCGCGAACCCGTGGCCCAAACCTCCGACGGCCGGATTTTCTCAGTCCGCGAGCCTGAGATGTAGCGGCCCCTTTTCCGGGGACCGCGTTTCGTCCGGGATCGATTCTTATGGCGCCCGCGGGGCATTGAAACGGAGCATCAGGATGCAAGTCTTGGGAGGTTTGTACTCAGCATCGGCGCTGGCATGTCCGTGGTCGAACACCGGGCTAATCCGGCTTGATCCCGCGCAATCCCGTTTCATCGCGTATCGTCCGGCCTAATCTGTCTTAGTCCCCGGCTCAATTTGGGCGAATCTGGCTTCATGGCCCTGGGTCGGGCCTTAATTGTAATCGCCCTTGATCGTTCTTGCGAAGGCCTCCCAGGAGATGCCTCGTAACCCTGCCAAGCCGATGAGCCCGTCACGTCCAGGCCTGAGCCTTCCTTCTTCTCCTCCCTTTCCGCTTTCTCGAGGATGTGCAGGCCACGATAAAACAAAATACAGCATCGTAAACAACAACTTTGACGCATCTTTCTGTTGCATTCCTCGACGCGAATCGTCTCGTGAGGGCCCCGGGGCCCTGATGAGAAAGCTGCGACGCCAGGATCCCAGGGCAGCCAAATCTGAGCCTTCCCGTTTCCGTTTCTCCTGCCCTTCCCCCTCGCTCGAATATGGGCAGGCCACGGCGGGGGACGGCGGGGCCCCGCGGCAGGTCGTGCAGCCGCTCACCGAGGAGGAAGAGCTGCTCGTGATCCAGCGCCTCCACAGGCGGCGGGCGCCTCCGGCCCGCTTCCAAGACCTCGGGGCCCCAGCGCAACAGCCCCGAGATCTGGGCGTCGCATTTCTGTTCACGCTGAGCGTTTTGACCTTTCTTTCGGGCCCAGGACACAGGAAGCGGAAGGCCCTACGACGAGTCCATCAAGGACGACGGCTGAGAGCGCCCCAAGCCCCGTGGCGATCACACATCGATCCGGCTCGAAAACATGCAGAAGCAAGATGGGGCCCAGGGCTCTGGTCGTGATTTTCGTTTGCGGCGTTGTTAGCAGTGTCGGATCTCAGGGGGGGGCCAGCGCCAACGGTGGTCAGCCGATCCCCTCTGGCTGATCCAGATTTGGGCTGGGGCCGACGCCCCACCGCCCAGCCCTCAGTTGACCCAGGCCTGAAAGCTACTATGCGGCTGGCCCAGCTTTGGAACCGGGCCCTTGCTGACCTGGGCTCGCGCCAAGCTGGCAGACCTCCAGCGGCCTGACAAATGCATGTAGGGCGAATGTCTTCTTTGAGTCTGAGCCCATCGAAATCGAGGTCCCCCCTCGGGCCTTGGGGCCCATGGACTGACGGGCCACGGCGCGAAGTCCACGCGGAAGCGGGGGTCGGGCGCCCTGGAATCCGACGCACTGAGCTCTGATGCGTTACGATAAGGGACCAGACTGCCGGCATAAGTGTTGCGGCATTATCCTTTCCCCCGATGGCCCTGGCCGGCCCGCAAAAGAAGGCCTGGAAAATTTGAAGAAGCCCAGCGATCGACGCCAGCTGTGCCCCTGCACACTTCGCAGCAAGGTCTCTTATCGCACGGGGGTGCAACTATCCATAACCACCGCTTGGGGATCGATATTTGGGGACCTCGGCAGGCGGAGGACATGAACATACTCGGGCCTTGGGGCGCCGACCAAATCCATATCCATCGCCAACCGAGGTCCCCGAAGACCGATTCCCGAGGCAGCGGTCATCGTTACATCCCCGTTGACAGTATGCATCGGGCACGGCTCGCGAGGAAGTGGAACGAGTACGTTGGAGGGCTGAAGCCCAAGAAAACAGCCCAAGAATCACGACGCCAGGGGTCTGGGGAAGGGGGTGGCGCGAGGGAAACCACCTTCTGAGAAGACATGGGGGCTGCTCGGATGCCATCTTGCCTCCTGAGGAGCCTTCCTGGAGGCTTCCTGGCCTTTCCAAGACGCCCCCCGCCTTCTGAGAAGCCCGACCCCCCCCCTTTCTCTGTGTCAGTGGAGAAACAGAGGCCACCGCGGCCGAGAACATCGGGGAGGGCCGACCCCTGTGCGGTGGCACGCCCGAGCGTCACCCAGGTGGAACGCCACCGCCCAGGGGTCTGTTTCCCCTCAGAGTGTGCACGCCTCATCCGGAGGTGGGACTGCGGAGGCCTGGCCGCCTGGCCCAGGCCTCCGACAATTGGGATTTTCTCCACGACGTGGGCCTTGCACGAGCTCACCGCTGTACTTTGATCGGCTTCTCGTCGCGCTTCGTTTGGGGACGTCCCCACGGGGACAAGAAGCGGGCCAGTCGGAAGCCGAAATGGCCAATCCTGGGAGGACGGCTACGGGGGGCGGGAGAAATCAACGGAGGGTATACAGAAAGGCGCGCCCGCCCAAGCATATTTTGAGGCCGACGTGGCAGTTTAGGATCCCCTTAGGTCCCCTGTAGGGCTGCTTTACTGGAACGCTTGTTCGCTTCCACTTGATTGCCCCCCCGTGACCAAGGTAGGGTACCGTACGAACACGAAGCCCCGTCCGATACCAGACGCGGAGTGAAATTGATACACGAATTCGAGCTTTGCTGCTTCATTGGCGAGGCATGAGAAAAACGGAGGAGGGAGAGACCGCACGAAGGGACAGAGGAGCTCACGACGGGCAAGGACGAGAGGCGAGGCGAGGAAAGCAGGGGAGGGACGACAGACAAGATGGGATTACCGATTTGGGATGGCTCTGCAGGGCCTGGAGGCAGACCTACCGGCAGCTGGAGAAACGCCTGAGAACGCTCAGATCACTATTCACTATGGAGTTGCGCGGCGGACCGGCTCCCCCTCGTGCCAGTTCGCTGGAGGCCAATTGCCACTTTTCTTTCGACTCCGGCAATTTCGCTTGCGGGGAGGGGGAAGGAATGGGGGGGCGCGGAAAGGCCCTAATGGAAATTCGGTTCCCCGAAAGTCAGGATTCACTTGCATGCCTTTTCGGCCCAGAGGCGTCAGAAAAGGCGACGGAGGGCGATGGGGAAAGGGGGAGGTGAGGCACATGCCATGCCAGCAAACGTGCTTGGGTCTAAAGCAAAACGGCCTGCCGACGAGCGCGGAGGGCCGACTCAGGAGGGGAAGTGCCGGCTTCCTAACTGGTGGGAAAGGGACTCAACGATGCAGCAGCTGGTCACACAGGAAGATGCGGAGAACGGAACAGGAAGGAGGAGGCCAGGGGGCTTGGCAGCACTATGGTGCGGATAAGCCGCCTGCACACTCAAAATCATTGTGGCCTTGGGGCCCCGACTTCGACGTTCACTGCGCGGTTGCGGCGTTTTCCAGGGCCGACGGAGCGGCCCTGCCCGTAGAACGTCGCCGCTTGAACGTCGTCGTTGAACGTCCTCGTTGACGTCCGCGCAGCGGCGGCGTCGCCTGAGGCCGACGTTGCGAAAAAACATGCGACATAGTGATAAATCACGACCGGGGCCCTGGACCCCATAGTTCTTTTGCATTTTTGCGAGCCGGATCGATCCATGAGTGTCGCCCGGCCCGAAATGGCTCTTTGCGACAAACAATGCGACGGCAGGCAGCGTTGGCGGCGGCGGTGGCGTCGTCGGCAGCGGCAGCGTCGGCGGCGGCGCCAGCGCTGTCCGGGGCCAGCAGCGGGGCGGCGGGGCCCCCCCCCGGGTCCAGAGAAGAGCGGCCACCCAGCGTGCTGCGGCCGTTCCTGCTGCGCCGGACCAAGGGCGCGGTGTTGAAGGAGACGGCGGGGCCTCGGAGGCCTGGTCCCAGGAGGACCACCATGAGATCCTGGCGTTTCATCTGTTTCGCTGCGAGCGACTTTGCCCTGTGTCGAGCCCAGGGTCCCTCACGGATCGAGCTGGCTAGAAAAAGGCAGCAGAAACATCGGGTCCAAGGGTCTGGTCGAGTTTTGTACGATTTTTGTCCTTGACGTTGGATCTCAGGGTAGTAAGAAGATGGCCATGTCGAGGCAATTGCGGGCCTCCTTGGTTTTTGTCCGTCCTTTTCGGGCCTCGTCGCCACGGTTGGATCCGCGTCTACAAACAAGCCGGGCAATGAGCCCCAGGAACGGCCCCCCACACGCCCCCAAAAAAGGGCGCGACGCCAAGAGCCTTACTTTTTCAAAGAAACGCCTCCTAAAGGCCCGCAGAACAAGCAACCTGTTTTCGGCCCGACGGGGGGGCCTCTCTTTGAAGGCGGCGGGGTTTCTCAGAAGGCCGGGGGATTCTGAGAAACCCTTTGTGGCCTCGGGAATGCCCCCCCCGCCCAATTTTTACATTGTTTGTTGTTCTTGTTTGTTTTGTGTTGTTTCGTTTTGTTTTCTTGGCGAGAACGCAACGTAGTTTTGTTCGTTGTCACAAAAACGCGGACCTGGGAATCCTTTCCCCTGCCGCCGCGCCGTGGGCGCTGATTACGGTTCGACGGGGCAGGCTGGGTCAGGTTGGACGGATGAGTTTTGTTTGGGGGTTCGCCTCATGTTTTCTTGGATTTCGTGTTCCTCGTTCTGTTCGTGCTCACTACTTCCGTGCTTTCTCCGCGGTGGGGGGAAGGTAAATCTACCCCCGCGTTTGATGCGCAGCGCCGCAGGGCGCGCGAGTCGTCGGGCCGCTGTGGCAGCGTTTCTTTTTCTGCGACCGTGCCGATAACGACCGTGTCAGTGCGACCGTGTCACTAGGCCGTGTCCGTGCGACCGTGCCGATACCGACCATGTCAGTGCGACTGTGTCACTAAGGGCGTGTCAGTGCGACCGTGCCGGTAACGACCGTGTCAGTGCGACCGTGTCAGTAAGGCCGCGTCAGCGCGACCGTGCGGATACGATTGTGTCAGTGCGACCGTGTCAGTAAGGCCGCGTCAGTGCGGCCGTGCCGATAACGACCATGCCAGTGCACCAGGCCACTCAGGCTGTGTCAGTGCGACCGTGCACATATCGGCCGCGTCAGTGCGACCGCGTCAGAAAGCCGTGTCAGTGCGACCGTGCCGATGACGACCGTGCCAGTGCGACAGAGTCACTAAAGCTGCGTCCGCGCCGATAACGACCGTGTCTGTGCGACCGCGCCGATAACGAACGCGTCCCCGGCGGCGCCGAACGATCGCGGCGATTGCGGCGAGCCGCGGGCCAAGTGAGCCAGGCATCAGGAGCGCTGATTTTCCGCGCGTGGCCACGCGGGCGCGGGTCGTCGCGCGCGCGCGACAGCGTTAGCCGGGCGGCGCGCAGGCGCGGCTTTGAGTCCGGCGGTGGCATTTGAAGCGCGGCGCGGTCGCGAAGACGATAAGCTCATCGCGGATTGCCCTGTGGATCGCAAGGCAGGCAGCGCGGCGCTCCCAGAGGTGCGCCGCGCGAGCCAGAGTCGCGCCCGCGCAGGCTACCAATTCGGCGCGCGCGCGCGTGGCGCAGCCAGCGCGGGCTGTTTCACCGAAAGAAGACGCCGGCGCGAGCGCCCCCGCAGTGGGCTGGGAGCAAGCCCACTTGTCGAAAGGCCCCCACCGCGCATCAGCGTTGCCCGCGCGCGCGCCACTGCATCTCGCGCTGCAGGAGAGCTCGACGCTGAGGGTGTATAATTTTATCAACAATGCAACGAAGGGCGGATTTCACGCGGCGCCACCCCGAGGGATTGAAGAGGACGTTCGCAGCACCATGGAGCGGGGGGGGGCCCAGGGGCAGCGCGGAGGCGATGCGTCTGCGCGACAACCTGCCACCGCGCCTGGAAGCGCGGGGACAAGTTTTGCAGCGAGATGGGGCCGCGGAGCAATGGTCTGCCGGCGCGGGCGTCGCGGCGCGACCAGCGCCCGCCGACGCGAGCGGGCCGCTTCAAGCCGCCCTGCTCGACGCGACGGACTGCGGTGGCGCGGGCGCAGCTGATTTGTTCCGCCACGGTGCGCCTGCGCTTGGAAAATTGCCACGCTCGGGCAGGGGCCCCGCGGAGAAGTTCCCGCGGCCTAGGTCGTCCGAGGCCCCGTTGAGCCCCTCCCTCGAGCGCGACAAATTTGTCTTGTCATCTTTGCGGGGGGGGGGGCGCGAACTCGTCTGCGATCCACGAGGGCGCGCTGGCCGACGCGTCGCTGTCGCATATGGCCGTTCCTTTTCGCGCGGCAAATGTGGACCTGGGCAAAGTGCATCTGTCGCCGAGATTCCGTGTAATACAGGGCGCCAAGCGCGATGGTGCGCCTAAGATCCGCGTCGTGGGCGACGAGCCCAGAGGCGGGGTCTACTCGGCGCGCCGGCCGGCCGAGAGGTTGCAGCTGGGCTCGGGGCTCAAGAGACGGGGGTCAATGCAATCAGGGGCCAGCCAGGGCACCGGATCCCGCGGGATCCTGCGAAGACCCCCTCTGGCTGACCTGGGTTAGCGCGCCGCTCGCGGCCGCGAGGCGGCCGCGCCTTTTGGCTGACCCGGGTTTGCGAAGACCTGCGTTGCAGTTTCTTTGTCCTGCGTTGCAGTTTCTGGCATCCTGCTGACCCGGGTCTGGATTGACCCGGGTCAGAAGATCCCCGATGGACGGGGCCGGCGCGCCAGTTGACGCCCTGCGCTGTTGCCGCGATCGGCGCGGCGACGCGCTGGCGCGGTTCAGGCCGACATCGACTCCGCTTATCGGCGCGTTCCCATCGTTCTTGAGCGCGGGCTCCTGGGTGCTAGGTTTCAGTCAGGCGCCGCCTAATGGGCTTGCGTTTCGGGTTCCGGAGGGCCTTGCCCCAGCTTCGGGTTCAGGAGGGCCGATGCGTGGGCGATTTCTTTGGTCCGTGTGCGCCCGCGACAAAGCAGCGCGCTATGGCGTCGCTCGCCAGACTAGCGCGCGTGCTCCTGGGCCCGAGGTCGGATTCCGACAAGAGGTTGGAGTGCGGCGACGAGCTCGAGAGTCTCGGCCTGCATGCGCAATGTCCTCGCAGTGGGATCACTTTGTTTCCCGCGCCCAGGAAGGTGCGCAAGTGGCTCTTCTTGTTTAGGCAAGCGCTCGACTGCGGAACACTGCGCGCCGGCCGAGCCAGCAAGTTGGCCGGCGCTCTCCGCTGGGCGGGGCAACATTGTTTCGAGACGCTCGGGCGTGCGATGTTGCAGTCCCTCTTCGCGCAGCAGAGTGCGCGTCGCGGCGTCTTTTGCGCGCCGCTGAATCTGGCGCCATCATGGCGGGCAGAGGTGCTGGACCTCGGCATCCGTCAGGCCAGACCGCGGGCGCGGCTGGAACAGCTGGAAGCGCCTGTGTTCGCCGATGCTACGGGCAGGTCGGAGCCGCGGCTCGCCGCCGCACTTTCCGTCGATGGTCGCGCCCTTTGGTCTGGTGCCCCTCCAGACGAAGAGCTGCTGAACGACTTGGTAACGCGCGAGACTCAGATCATGGCGCTTGAGTTGCTCGCAGTAGCGCTGGGTGTAGCTCCCTTCGGCGGGCTGCTGGCGGAGCGCCGACTTGCGATCTGGTCTGACAATGCGGGCGCAGAGGGATCAGCGCGGAGCGGTCGCGCCTCTGCCTAGGGCCATACGCGCATCATTCACGCGACGTGGTTTCTCATTGCACGCGCCAGGTGCTCTCCGCGGTTTGCGCGGGTTCCGTGGGCGGAGAATGTGGCCGACCGTCGGTCGCGAGAAGAGTGCGAGTTGTTGCGTTTGTTTGGGGCGGAATTCGCGGCGCCGCGATTGCGCGCGGCGGAATTCCTCGTTCCGGAGACGTTCCTAGCCCGCGCTCCGCCGGCGAGAGCGCGCCAAAAATTCCCATCGCGTGGCGCTGGCGGCCGTTGCGCGTCGGAGGCGGCGAGAAGCGACGCAGGCGAATGGGCCGTTGCCCCGCGTCGAGTTCGCGGCGAGCCAAGCCTCGCGCGTGCCTGGAGGGGCCCCGCGCGCGTTGTTGCCAGGAGCCGGGAACCGCAGTTGCGTCGTTGACTGCCCGGTGGCACTTGGCCATTTCGCCATGCGCGTCGCCGCGCGGCCCTAGCGCGGCAAGCAAGGGGCGCTCATCCGGGCAGATGGAATGGCGCTGTTTCAGGAGGTTCGCGGCGTCGCGCCAAAGCATTCAGCGATGGTAACTGTTGCATTGGTCGAGCTGCTGAAGCGGCGCGACGCAGCGCAGCTCAGGGATTGGCAGCTCGCGCGCGTCGAGCGGTTCGAGCCCGCGCCTGCCGCTGAAGGGGGGCGAGGCGTCAGCCCCGACGCCCTGCGCGAAGGTCTGATAGCGTTAATTCACGAGGCCGCGAAGCCATCTACCGCCGCGCGCGGCGCGAGGGGCGCACCTCCGCACGCGCCCGACGCGCATCGGCGACCGCTCCGCGGCCGCTGTCGCCCCCCCAGCTGGCGGCGCGCTGCCAAATGCGTGGAGCTTGCGGCGGAGCGCGGCGCCGCGCGGGACCTTGCGCCCGCCGTCAGCACAGCGCGCCAATGCGCCATCGAGCCGCGCGCGGGCCTCCGCCGCGAAGTTGCAGCGAATGTTTAAATTCGGCCATGGTCGCCGCGTTTCTGGGGGGGGCTGCCCAAAAACGTTGCCCAGCGTGGTGAGCGGCGTCCGCAGCTGGGCGACCTTCGCCGTGACCGTGCTCGGCGGCGACGCGGGGGATGCAATTCCGCCGTCGCTCGAGGGCCCTGCGCCGCGGGGCGCGCGCTTTCGCTGCAGGGGGGCGCTCGACACTTGCATGGCGCACGTCGAAAAAGTCTGCATCCAGCTGCGCGCCCCGCCGGGCGCGTTCGGCAACCCGGCTGGCGAGCGCGCCGCTCGCGCGGTGCGAGCGCGAAACGCAAGGCAGGCCAGGCCCAAGATGTT